CTATAGAGGAGACAGTGAAAGTCCTTCTACTGATTTCTGTAAGTTTTATATTAGGATGCTAAAATATGTTCTACTAAATGAATAAAATTTGCCAATGAATAATCTTTAGTAATGTGATTTCCCAGGGAATACACATGGTGTGCAGTACAGACTGCAGTACTGTTGTATAATGATGAATAAATATTTAACTTACCAAAGGAATTTTTGTTAGTAGGACATCCTTGGTAGCCACCTGTTCAGTAGATAAATTTGAAGTAATTACTTCAAATTTCTCAAGCAATTACTTCAAATTTAGATTTCAGATTCAAATTCAGATTTTAGATTCTTCGAAGTTCTACTTCAACATAAATTCTGTCAAGCAGCTGCTGACGACTAGCAGCTCTGTCTCTGCTTCCTGCCCATACACCTAGTGTTCAGAGAGTAAGAAATTAAATCTGTACTTTTATACATTATGTCCACTACATACAACAGTTTCAATTCCAACAGGTGATGCTGAGGGACTCTGGCTTCATATTGATGCTGCATATGCGGGAACAGCATTTGTATGTCCTGAATTTCGGTTGTTCTTGGATGGAATTGAGTATGCAGATTCCTTTACTTTTAATCCTTCTAAATGGATGATGGTTCATTTTGACTGCACTGGATTTTGGTGAGTAAAGACAAAATACAAAATGCAAACTGCAAAGGTTTTTTTCTGCCTTTTTTTTTTTTCCGCTAATAGTTCATTCTACAATTTATAGGGTTAAAGATAAATACAAGTTACATCAAACCTTCAATGTGAGCCCCGTCTACCTCAGGCATCCCAATTCAGGAGCTGCTGTCGATTTCATGGTAAGTCATCATTTGAGCTGATATTCTAAATTGCCTATGAAATATTCAAACACAGATTACCTGGAGTGTGCTTGCCGTGTAGCTGGTCTTACTACATAAAATTATAAAAGCAATCATAATGAGATCCTAATGGAGATTAAATAATAGAACTTTGAAGTGATCTGTAGTTAGAGCTGATTATAAAACTGCATAGAGATGCTTTCAGTAGAATGAATGAATTTCTTTCCCATGAAGTTATTAGGAGATACATTTTAGTTTAGATGTGACACATTTCAGTTTAGATCCATCTTGCAGAAGTTTTCAGTACAGTAAAACAAGATAATATTCAATTACTAGTTGTTTCAGCTGTGATCTCAAATCCTGAAACTCTAATTGCTTTATTTTTGTAAATCAATAACGCCTTTCATTAGAGTGTCAGAGTGTGTGTGTGTTTCTGTGGAGGGAAAAAAAAAGAGTCTCTCTTGTAGTTAAATACGACCCTGCAAAACATTTTGTAGATAATTAAGGTACTTTTACATATTCTGTTGCTCTTTTATATGCAGCAAATGTTATTTTCTCTGGAAAGGTCTAATTCTAAATCTGCTCCAACTGTTTATAGTTAATTTGGGAAGCCATTCAGCACAGCACTTAAATATGCATATTACAGGACTGGAAGTGAGCAAGAGTTGTTATTTATAAATAGGTAATTAACTAAAAGTTCTAAATATAACTATGCTGTAGATTAAGGGGAAGAGCCAACATTCTATTTTTCCAAATGCTTGGAATGTATGCAGACATAGTTCTTTGGAGGAACTATGGACTAAGCCCAGGCCCAATTCCTGGCTATTTCCTGGGCTCAGTTAGTTTCCCCTAATGTGAAGTTCTTTGGGTTGATCAAGCTTTCTGACATGAGTGCAGATGAAGCATCAGACTGCGGTAGTGTAAGAGGACACTCCTTGCTGTTGTTTTTGCACTTATTGATACACGCTTTTTTTTTTTTTTTTTCCCCAGCACTGGCAAATCCCCCTAAGTCGTCGATTTCGTTCTTTGAAGTTGTGGTTTGTGATTCGTTCCTTTGGAGTGAAAAAGCTTCAGGATCATGTCCGGCATGTGTGTGCATTAACAATATAAGCATAAACATTGTGCATTTATTGGCAGTTGAGTTTATTTAAACTCAATGAAAAAATGATGAATAATAGAAATCCTCTGTCATACAAACCTTGCATATAAGCACTAAATGCATGCTGATTTTAATCTTAAGTAATCCGAAAAGTTTTACAACATAAATGGAGCTTTTCCTGTACACTTCTGGGAAGCAGAAAGCAAGGGAAAGCACCTTGATAAATCAGTGCCTTCTGCCTCAGCTGTCTGCTGAGCTTTTCTTTGAGGCAAAGTGACAGCTGTTTGAGAGGCTGGCTGTGATAGGTGGCTACTGGATGAACCCATAGCTGTGACAATCTACAGGCTTCAATCCTTGGTGGAATATAAATACAAGGGATCATATTGTGGATCAATAGCTATTGTAAGATGATTCCAACTTGGAGTGTCAATCCTTTCTCTAGAAAACTCCCATGTACCAGTGTAGTTGCTCTTGTTTGCTGTCAAGGGTTTGTCTGTAAGGATCTGCAAAACCCACTGGAAAGAGGTTGGGCTCTTAACAAATCCTGCCATAGGCTTTGGCAAATAGACAAAATTTTAAAAAATTTTATTTAAAAAAAAGTTTTTAAAATTTTAGTTGTTATTATTCATAGTTTTGCTATCATTTATGTTGGAATGATGCATTTTAACTAGTTAACTTAGCATTTTATATTGGGTCTATGACCAACTGATTCATAATTACTTTTTTTTTTTCTTTTAAATTATAAGGGTACTGAAACAGCCAAATTCTTTGAATCTTTGGTTAAAAGTGATCCGCTCTTTGAAATTCCTGCCAAGAGACATCTTGGACTGGTTGTGTTTCGTTTAAAGGTAAAGATCAGGCTATTCCCATCTTCTTTCAGAATGAATTGACTGCAGCTGATCTCTCCACAGACACTAACTGGGAATAGATTCTTCATGTATGAATTTGTAATGCTGGAATTCTTATAAAAATGTTTGGATATCATAGCAATTGTTAACTATATTATTTCTTCTTATATATACATAAAACAGGGTCCCAACTGGCTGACAGAAGAGCTCCTAAAAGATCTGAGCAGTTCTGGGAGGCTTTTCCTTATTCCAGCAACCATTCATGACAAGTTCATCATTCGTTTTACGGTAACATCTCAGTTCACAACCAGGGAAGATATTCTGCGGGACTGGAACATCATTCAGCAAACTGCAGCGCGCATCGTTAGCTGCCGTTACACATTGCACCGCGTCCGTTCCTGCGACGGGGCGAGAGCCCCCGGTATGATAGTTAAGCCTAGTTCTGATGCCACTGCTAGTGCTCCCCAGTGTTATCCAGGTGTAGGGGAACACAAAACACCTTCCAGAAAAATAGTAGTTCAGCCTAAAAAGTTAGCAGTGAGTCCCAGTTCATGTGTGATTAACCAACAAGTGGAGGATCAAGGGGATCCTTTAGATGACTGTTTTTCAGAAGATGCCCAAGAGGTTACCAAGCAAAAGTTAAGCTCCTTCTTATTCAGCTATTTATCTGTTCAAGGCAGGAAAAAGACAGCACGCTCCCTTAGCTGCAACAGTGTGCCAATGACTGGTGCTCCTGAGCAATGCAACCCCCAGGCAGGAGCCACTGACAAGAAAGAGTCTCATACAAATGCCAAAATCCTTTCTAGGCTGCCTGAAGAGGTGATGATGCTCAAAAAAAGTGCCTTTAAAAAGCTGATCAAGTTTTACAGTGTTCCAAGCTTCCCAGAGTGTAGCGTTCAGTGTGGCCTTCATCTGCCTTGCTGTCCTCTGCAAGCCATTGTTTAACAAGTGAAAGAGTTTGGTCCTTAGGTCCTCCCCAGGTAGAAAAGAACCAAAGTTTGCTTATTCATGTGCAATGTGTAAACAGTGGCAGCGACCACTGAGAAAATTCCTGTGCTTCTACTGATGCAAAACCTTGTGTATTTATAGATTAAAATATCAAATAAATCTTGTAAGCATGTAATATGAAACTGGTTTGTAGATTGAAGAACAGAAAATGCAAAATCTTGCCTTATCATCCTTGCAATACACTAAGGGAACATTCACAACTGGTAGGCTGGAATGATTTTAATAAAATATGCTGGTCTTAATAGGGTGTAAACAATCTAGCTCACTATTTGCACCACTGATTTTTGTTTTGATACCTTGACCTAGGCTTTCTAAAGACTGCGATAGGGACCTGTGGGTATGTTCAGTGCCAACATCATTTGTAAACTGTGCAAAGGGAAGATGTAACCTTTCTAAGAGGCTTTGCCATGCAAGGGGAGTGTTAAATTCTCTGTGAATTTAAAACCACAGCAGCCCTGCCCTCCTGTCTGTGTTAATCAGTAACAGCACACGGGAGTCTCTGTGTAACACTGTACCAGGAAGATTGGCCATTGCTGAGCACCTGTGGCTTTTGTCAGCTCTGCCTAAGGCTTGAACATTAATTACTTGGGACTTACGATTATGGAGGGTAAGGCAAGTTCCAGCTATAAAACTTCCTATAAATTTAACACATTAATGTGTTTAAAAAGGGGGAGATGGGCCTAAAATTGTGTGTCTATGTGCATCCATCTGACTAATCTTGAATTATCCTAGTACAACCTACTTGAGCACCTAATTCAGGAAGGGGAAACTAGAAGTCTGCTTCTAGTCTTTCCATAGTACGAGCATGCGACAATCACTCAGAACAGAACAACTGTTACAGGTGCCTCAGTAATCATGGTTAGTCCTGGGAAGAGAGGGGAGTTGGAAGGTCACAGTGGAATGGACACACTCTGGAATGAACACAGGTAATGGAAACACTCCTCGTTAGAGCAGGCAGCGTAGAAAAGATAAAACTCAAAGAGGAAGGGAACAAAAAGATGGTAGGTAAGAAATACAAGGTATGAAAGAGAGGAAAATCCAGGCTGAAATATAACTGGGGTCAGAGCAGTTCTATTTTATTAAAATGATCACATATTTACACATTATTTTAGATGCATATATTTGCTAGTATTAAAAAATAAAATTTCCTGGTACTATTAGAGTAACAGGTGTTTTAAAATGTGATTATAAAACATAGATTTTTTGGGACATGTCTACAATCTGAAGTGATGGTTTTTTACTGAATTATAAATGGCCTGGGTCATCTGAACATACGTGTTTTCTTTTTCATCCAGGATATACAGGCAATCTTTGATGACTGCTGGGTTAAAACCTTCATCCATTAGTTGTACTTTACGGTACTTGAAAGTTGCTGTGAGTTCTATGGCACTCTACAAAACGAAGTTATGTCTCTACTTAGCAATGGCAGCATATAATTAAGGCAAATTAAATTTTCCACATTTAAAGAGAATCAGAAAAGAACAGCCTTGAGCTTTTCTCTAAGTAGTATCTATATGAAGTTACAGGTAATTAGAACAGGTACAATATATATGTTTTCAGTTTCTGAGATGAGCATTATGTATAAATCCATACAGTGCAGAAGTCAAAGCCTTACTAATAAAGGTACTATCTGCATTCATGGTAATAGTGCAACTATTGAGTGTGTGGGTCAGTAACTAACCTGAATATAAGAAACTCTGGGTCCACAGTAGTGGGTTACTGACAGGCTTTCCTTACTACCCTCTTAAATGAGGCATGGAAACACTGGAGACTTCACTCATGCCATTTTCTACTTCTATTCAGGCTCATGGGTTTGATCCAGAAATTCATTTAATCATGAACTGGAGAGGAGTTTCCCTTAATATCCATCGGTTAAAACTTTGTTTATTAAAGTTACTGTGGTAGTTAACCAAATGTTCAGATCATCATATCAGTGTCATATCATCTTCTTGAAGAGTAATAGATCTTGATTAATGCAGGTTGCAAGAGTGCTTTGCAAGAAACTGATGATCTAAGAAAAAATACTTGGGATAAGGGAAACGGACCGCATGGGAAGGACTTTGATGACAGTAAGTGCTGTTAGTGTGTATCTTGTTTTCAGATCAAAAGAGAGAAGAACAGCCAAAAAAAAAAAGATAGTTGGAGGTTGGGCAAGTACTTTACCTGAGGTGGCAAGACAAACTACTAGCTTGACCAGTCAGCTGCTTTGCTTGTGTATTCATTCAAAAGTTTAGAGATCAATTAAGGAATTAGGGATGCTAGTATCTCTGTACTACTCCTCTTCTTGAATCATTTCAATGAAAGGAGGTAAAAGGAGGTATGTTTATTTTAAATAAACAGCCTGAGAAGTACTGCTAGAGTGAAGTTCTCATGTTTTCTTAACTTAAATTTTAGTTCACAATTCAGTTTACAAAAGGCTGTTCTTTTGCAAGCTGTTACTTGTGAGCTGATCTTTATTTTGAACAGAACAGTTTGTAGAAGTGGTAAACTGAAAACATAACTCTGTTAGTGTGCTGAAGGAATGCAACAGGAAATATGATTTTTTTTCCATTAAAAGGTTTTCCTGTTTTTATATGTTAAAATATGTCCTGTATCCTGTTAATGCTCATGCAGCTTTGTTTTTCCAGGATGAACTAAAACATCCAGGTCCAGTTCTGCTTTCATACTGGTAAATGATAAGAGCAAGTGAGTGTCAAAAGGAGGGTCTTAGAGAATTGCTTGCATAATTAGAGAGTGCACAGTCCTCACAGAAACGAGAGAAAAAAATGTGAGCAGAGCCACAGAGCTACTTAGGACTACTCTTTTACCTTAATCCTTATGAAACGAGGTCTTGCGTAGTTTGGAAGATGAGCATGAACGTGTCTGTAAGTATTTTCACCATTAAATTCGCAGTTTTCCTTCAGTCGAATACATGCCATTCCTATTCTGCCTTCATAACCTGAAGGAGTAATGACAGTAAATAATCATGGTTCATTTAATACTTCAGACTGATCTCTCTCTTTTTTTCTCAAAATTTGTTCTTCCTTCTAAACATTTTCTGAAAATAAACTTACTATTAGACATGTTAGTGATTAGATTTTCTTAAGACGTCAGCACTGTAGATGCCAAAAAGCCTAGCATCAGAATGATGGATGGACTTCTGAAAGTCATTCCTATTTCCATGTTTCAATACAAGCAGAATGTCAGATCTCAATACTTAGAAATGGAAGCCTGTCTGCAGTGGCATTCAGTCATGTGAGATTTTTACTTTATTATAAAACATTGTAAATCTGCTTGAACTTACTGTGCTGACAAACACATCCAGGCATAGAGAGGACAGAAAGAAGTAAGACCTGGTTTAAAATTGTTTAGCAGCACCTGAGTTAAGTGCTGCAAGAATCTGAGTACTACAGTCTTCTCTCTGGTTTAAAATTGTTTAGCAGCACCTGAATTAAGTGCTGCAAGAATCTGAGTACTAGTCTTCTCTCTTTTCTCCTTTTTCTTTTTCTCCTTTTTCTCTTTTCTCTTCTCAAAAAAACTTGTTTGGCCACATACTGAGAAGGTTTTGTCCTCCCCTTTTGGGAGCTGGGGCACAATATAAACACTAATCTGTTGGTGTTATTTCTGTTGTCTAACATTACAAATACTTCAAGAAGATTAGATCAGATCAGGGTATATTACTTATTCATGAATAATCCTATGCTTACTTATTATGGTTTTGTGAAATGTTTCTAGAAGGACAAGTACTGTTTAAATTATTACAGGGAAACAGATAATATGCAAAATTTTCACATTAGAATGATATTACTGCTTTCAGAAAACTGCATAAAGTAGCAATTGAAAAAAAAGGAAGTGGCACCTAAAGCTTGAAGAAAAAATCACAAGAATTTTCAAGTTTAAGACGAATGGTTCCACAGTTCCTTGTGAGCTATCTTTGGTTTCCTTTACCTGTCAGATGTTGTTCTTAGGCCACCTGGCATTCATATTTGTTTATTCAGAATCTAGAGTGCCAAATTAGAGTTCTCGGGTGATGTATGCTATCATCTCCAGCTATATTACTGAAGTAAAAATATCTCCATACTATGTAAAGCAAAAAAAAGCTTAAATACAAAATCCACATAGTTCTTGTACAACAGCAAAATGATACCTGTGTTTGAACACCCACCTTGTGGGTTTTTTTTTTTTTTGATTGTTTTTGTTTTTTTCCCATAAAGCTGAATCATAGCTGGGTATTAGCACCTCTTCTAAATAGTTTTATAAGAGCACTGCAAATAAAAGTGTATTTTCCTCCTCTCCTACAGCATAATTTGAGAAATATATGCAGAACCAGGCCACTTAAGAGGTTACCTTGCTTTTGAAATATCTCCTGGACAGTGTGTTTATCACTAGCACAAAGCAGTTGAAAACACAAATGATTTAGAGCGAGGCTTTGGTTTTATTTCACTAGAGTGTGGAGGCATAAATGATTATTAAAAGGATTTTTATTTGTTTGTTTCTTTGAATTAAATCCACTGTTCTGATAGATCACTTTGGTTCATATACATTTTCAACCTTCTGTTCAAGGTCCGTCTGGAATCTCAGGAATTTCTTTTTTTTTTTTCCTTCACTTTTAGTAGAGACATCTCATGGACCAGAACATTAACAGAAATGCTCATATGTTGAGCAAATGGTGGAAAGAGGTGTTGGATGTAGGAAGACTGGAATCACTAACACTGTCTTTCAATTATGAAATCATAATTTGTCAGTAGTGTGACTTACGAGGTACTCTAGTCTGGAAAGCTTTAGGGAAAAAAAAAATGATGCCTGTTTAACTTTTATAGGACCTTTCTTCTCAGATTCCTTCTTAAACTTCTCCAAAAAGCATATGACGTATACTATGTCAATAGGTCCAAACTACAAGTACAGCATAAGTTCAGAAATATTAAGGAATTAATTTCAAATCTAATCTAGTTTGCTTGATTTCAGATCCCTGCACTATGCTAAAAGAATGAATTCCATTTTAACTGTCCACCAGAACACATTTACTGTAAGGAGCTAGATGTGTGTCCTGCGGAACTTGGGTAAGTGAGCCAAATGGACAGGAAGGTACCTCCAAAAAAGCAAGTGGAGTAAAGCTGTCTGTTCCCTTTCTGCTCCCTCTGTGTTCCCATGCTGGGAATCTGGATTAAGCAGCAATGCCTCTCATTTAAAAAAAAAAAAAAAAAAAAAAAAAACTGTTACAATGTCTTAAAGAGGTACTAAAATTCTAAGATTTTCTAATTTCTGAGGAGTAGAACAAGGACAGTAAGTGTTCTAGAACTTTATGCATTGCTTCAGATCATTAAAGAAAGGTGCAGAACAGGGGAATTAGTTTCAAATATCAAGTGACTTTTTTGTTCTTCTAGAAATTCCTTTCACATCTATTTTGTTTTTCTCATTCTGGGGTCATTGTAGAGCTACGTTGCTGTAAAACATGCAGAGTTATTTGTATTAAAGATAGCTAGTCTCAAATCTTCTTCCATTTTCCTGTTAATATTCTTGCCCTGTCCTGTATTAATATAAGCTTTGGCTATGTTTTCTCAGATAATGAATATTGCATACATTGAAAATATAGAATGCATCAAGTATAAATTAGGAAAAATAGAGAAGGTAAAGGAGGACTCTACAGTTCTCAGTTTAATATGTCAACCTTTGTTGACATATTAAAAAAAGTTAGTATTTCATTCAAATATTCAAATATTTCATTTATACCTGGAACAGATACTCCATATACAATAACTTCTTGAACATAGTCGATCAATCCTAAAATGTCTGCAACTTCAGTTGTAGAAACATTTTCCCCTTTCCACCTGGAATATAAGCAATTGATAGAGGTCATAATTTTTAAATATATTACTCACAATGATCTCTAGTGTTTTAATCTCTGACTGTATAACGAGGTGAGCACTGAGCCTGAGGTCAGAAAGCACTTTTCTATTAGGACAAGAGACCTATTATTAAAAGGAAATAAAAGCAGGCTGCAAATTTTAACAGCATGTTCCATAATATTCAAATCTCAGTAGGATCTAACACGCTCTGCTTACTCATGCTTAATACATTTTTAAACTGACTAACAACCAAAATACTACTTACCTTAACTTCTATCCTAAGCTCTATAAACTCTGATTTTAAAAATGCAGTGACTGTGAAACGAGAGCGATTTGCGAGTGCGAGTGGATTGCGATGAGAACTATTCAAAATAGTATTCACTTACCATCCTAAACTGCCCTTGTTATAGTTTGTATATATAGACACAAATGATTAAAATACAATAGTATTGATAAAGTAGTGATAGAGTCCCCTTTTTTCTGACTGCTTTCGGAGAAAATAGTTTTCCTCAATCAGTATGAAATGCTTCAACATGAAATCAGACTTGAGAGTAAATATTGATAAGCATTTAAATAAATACACTAACCGGAATGTGTCTCCAATTCTATCATGGAAATAAATGAAGTTATCGTTGTCAATCACTAAAAGGTCACCACTATTGAAATATAAATCTCCTTTTTTGAAGACATCTTTTAATTGCTTCTTCTCTGTTTGGTGTTTTGCACCTGCATAGCCACTAAATGGTGCATATTCGGTGATTTTGCAGACCAGAAGTCCTGGTTTACCTATGAAGAGGAAAAATATTTGCTATTCATTTAAAAAGCACAGTGTAAATTGCCCAAATTAACCATTTTTCATTATGGTTTTGAGGCCTGTAAATATTACAGAATTATTTCAGGTTTTTTTTCTGTGATCACCTTCATTATAAATTAGCTTTGGAGGTACAAATTAAGAGTTTCATCTTGTCCTCTCATTCATTAGCTCTCAGTAGGAATAACTGTAGATAATACAAATTATCTCCTGGTTCTGTATTAACACAGAAGAGACTCTTTGCCATCTTGTCTGACACCAGTTAAGTAGAGAAGAGTTGCTCAAGATTCCCTATGCAGGTACCTAATAGGGATATAGGAAATCAATAGGAACCATGTCTACACAGGAAACCTATACGTGATACTAATAATGTCTTCAGAAGGTTACTCTCCATACAGGCTACTTCCATGTATTTCAGGTAGTGTGGGACTTGCCGACCTCTCAATGAAAATAATGAGTTGCATTTAGAAACCAAATGCATTGGATTTCAGCTTGCTTGCTTTGAATGCAAAATTGCTTCAAAGGCTGCTTAATATGTTCTTTCATTTGCTGTAGCTGAAGTAATTTATGAAGGCAGAAGGGAAACCTACGTGTTTATGTAAATTGAAACTCAACTGCATAATAGTCTTCGGTCACCTGGGATTTTGTTTCTGTTTTTGTTTTTTTAATTTTTCTCTCTTACACTGAAGGGATTTTTCATTCCTTCCCAGCCCCCCAGTTCACACCGAAATGTTAGTAATATATCTGTAAATCCTAACACAGAGGAATGTACATGTGCGCATCCCTCCTCACCTAAACTCAAGAGTTAGCATAGGAGAAGATGTCTATGGGGCAGACCCTCTGCTAACATAACTGGTATGTTCCTCTGCAATGAAAATTAACATAGCTTAACTGGGCCCCAGTTGCATTATACTGAGAGAGAGTGTCTTACCATCTAGCTTGGGGTGCTCACTCAGATTCCTCCCTCACATAAATGACTGAACATGCAACAGAATCCAACAAAATCACAAGTATTGGAAGTGTTTGGTTTAAAGCCAGGTACACCTGTGCCAATAAATAACCGCCCCCAGCTATGAAAACTGATATTAAGTTAAAATATAGGCAAAGTACTTTCATGCATGCTTTTTATATTCAAAATAATGAAGAGTTTCAGTGACAAAAGAAATTCCTTTCTGTTTTGCAAATGTTTCTTGTTGACTATAAAGTCTGAGGAGAATTAAATAACTCCAGCTGAAAGCCAAGATCTGTACTCAAAGGTCAAAATGTTAGCATGTCTATTACTAGAACTAGACTAATAATGAAAATCTAAGTATACACTTGCTTGATTCCCCCCTATGCTTCTACCTTTTGTGTTGTATTATTACTATTATATTGCACTAGTACAAGTTTTGTTATGTAGTTTCTAACTAAGTCGATAGCAATTCTCAGCCTCTCTCCAGATAAAAGTGATACAAAGATAAAATATTTTTAGAAGTACAAACCTTTCTGTTTTTTACTTTAAAGAGTTTAAGTTTTTACCTTTGGGAACTTTTATGCAGTATCCATTCTCATCTCGGACTGGTTCATCTTTCTCTACGTCATATTTAATCAGTTCATAGTGTAAGACTTTCTAGTGAAAATTTGCAAAATTATACACACATAAATATTCAGTCTTTGAAAAATATTTTCATAATTATGCTACATGTTCAGCCTTCTCTTTAACAGCTGCAAAATATATCACATTTCAACTGGATGGGCTGCATGTCAATGTTCTACCTGAACTAGCAAGAGGTGTCAGTGGTATCTAGCATGGGTACTTGCAGACTGTACTTGTGATTTCTCTATTGTTCTCTCTGGGCACATTTGCCTTTGCCTAACACACACCTGAGCCCTGGGCACTTCCGAATTTATCAGTTTGGCAGTTTAGTAAGCTTTACCAATAAGCACAGAGTGCCAAATTTTGTTATTCATCTTACCTTCTGTAAGCAGTTCACTCTTCCCACTGCACCAATTTTTCCAGTGTAATTCACAAAGGAAATGTTTCCCTCAGTTGAAGCATAAAACTCCAGGATATGAATATTTCCAAATCTCTGGATAAATTCCTTCCAAACATCACTCCTTATCCCATTTCCTATGGCAAGTCTGACTCTGTGATCCCGATCATTTTTTCTCTGGAAATAAGAAACAGTCATGAATTAGTGTTTCAATATGAACTGAAAGCTTCTATATCTGGAAAACTCCAAAGGAAAGTTTAGCCTAAAGTACTGAGCATATTCTGAAGTAAAATAGGGAAAAACATCATTACAATTAAGCACATGGTTATGACATGGATAAAAGGAGAAGAAATTACTGAACAAGTTGGGCTAAATATCTGTCTATCTGACTGTTGTTAGTAGTTGATTTGATTTGGATGAGGACAGGAACAATTAATGACATGAAGAAAGCTAAAAAAAAATCCAGGCACCGTGTTAATTTATTTGTTTGTAAGCCTTGTGGTGACTTTCTGCCGAAGAGTAGCTCACCCTAAATTCAGCAAAAGATTTGTATGACCTAAATGGCATTAGGGAGGGGACGGAAATCACTGGTAGGAATCTTTGTTTGTGAACTTTCCACCATTATTAGTGAACACTGCAGGATGGAACCTGTTAAAAAATATTTTACAACATTTCATTAATTTTTTTAAATAGATATATGAGACCTTTTTGCTTAAAGTGACAAGCACGTGTTGATGATGACAGTCTTGCTTATGTCTTCTCTTAGATATTTATGTTTATCATCAACAATAGGGAGCAATGAATTGTGTTGTACACTTGTAATTCATAAATATTTCCAATGTGCTAATGGTAACAGTAGTTCAGAGAATTTAACCACAATATAGGAAGGATGTTTTGTCCCACTTCCTGCCTTATTCTCCAACTCTTTCTTGTAATACATAATTTAATAGTACTTTAAGGCACAGAGAATGTTTTAAATATATAATGACTTATTAACTCAGAATACACTGCTGATAGAATAGCCTTATTCTATCAGCAAGAGACTGGAGGGCACGTTTGTGCGGAACTGTTACGTTAGCTCTATATCTTTCAGATATTTCCATTAAAAAGACAAGCTTCTAGATGATGGGGCTAGAAGACAAACAAGTTTTAATTTAATCTAAATACGTATATTAATATATCTTCCTTTCTGGGATACTGAGAGATCTGCCATTGCTATGTTACAGCAGAACTAAACTGCAAATGGAACAACCAAATTTACCAGCTGGAAGAATAGCAGAATCTTGCTCATATACCCATTTCCTGAAAATCTGTACTGATTTCAGTGAAGTTATTTCTTATCTCTGTAACCAGCAACAGAAAAGTACTCAGATATCTGATATTTTGCACACACTCATAAAGCGAAAAGAAACTGCAAACCTGCTTCTCTTTTCTGACTTACGGGCATCAAATGGTGCTAGGAAAACTGATTGATATTATCTTCATTCTTAGTAAATTTTAATTGCTATTGACAAGATCTCTCTCCATGAGAGTAATTTTCTGCAAGCAAACATGCTTTTGATATCAAGAATTAACTAATATGACTAGAGGGATCTTAGCAGGAAAGTATTTATGAATAGATGTTCTATGGTGACAGTATATTAAGTATACCTTTATAAGTAGCTGTGCTTAAACAATCACAATAATCACATTAAAGCTTTCACCAGCATGGGGAAAGCAGTATTGTCTTGAGCTAAGATTCCTACTTAAAAAAAAAAAACAAGTATTACTGTCTAAATGTGAAATGACACAGCTCCTTTTGTTCCTAGGGAGTTTCTTGTCCTTTCCATCAAGAGTGATCACGTAAGGTATGTGGTTTTTTTTCCATCCACCTTAACAAAATGTCAATTAAAGAATTAATTACGATTGTTCCATTGTCCAAAGGACTGGTTAATTCAATCAACCAGTTCCTTTTTCCTTGAAAAAAGAAAAACATGTTAGTGTGCCATGAGATTGTAAACCTTATTAGAGCAAATTACAGCTCTTTAATGCTACCTGAGATCCCCTCCATCAACAGTCCATTTTCTTTACAAACAGCAAATAAGAACACTTCTTGCTGTGTTATTTTAATTAATGGTATGTATTTTATGATTGATATGTAAAGTTCTTTCAAACTCAAAGCTTTGGAATAGTTTAGTTTATCTGCAACTGGTTCCTTGAATTTTTACTAATCGCAGCTCACGTTCAGAAGTCAGCAAGATCCAATTTTGGGTAATACCTTTAATATTCTGCAAAAAAATAACTATTTTATCTCTCATGCAGAAAGACCTATCAAAACATAAAACACATAAAATTAAACCTCAAATTTTTCAACAATACTATTGTCGCAGTCCATGCACTTTCCATTTCAATACTTTGGCTTTCCAAAAACTTTCCCAGAGGGAACACTGCATACATCTAGTGGAAAAACAGTAAGAAGCCTTTTTCAGTAATAGTGTGTTAAAATTTGATTAACAAAGCATAATGGGAAAGTGAATCGCATATGTAGCTTATATTCATCAAACAGTGTATTCCAACAAAATAACAATTTTTGCTAAACTTAGAAAAAGACTTTTTCAAAACCAAAAAGTATGTTTTACTCTAAGTATTCCCTGCTTTTTGGCCATGTGGTGCACAGTAAACTCAGTGTACCAAATATATGTTCAGTTATGGATCATTTGTGGATGATAATTTGTAATATCTCTTCTTTACAGTTAGATTTTTTTGAACATGGGCAGTATGTGTAGTAGTCTAATTATAATTAGTCACACACACACAAAAAGGTAGCTGTTACCTGTGGCACACTACATAAATACCGAAGCACTTCCCCAATATATTGTATCACTGTTACATTGTATTTCCTGCAGTCATCCCAGAACTGACTTGCTGAAAATTTAGCTCGCAAAACGATAGTTGCACCTGTGTAGAAAGAAGTAAAAACAGATCAGAAAGAACAATTGTTTAAATATCATAATGCTATAAAAAATTTCTTAGTGCAACATTGTAGAAAACTTGTAGAATTATTGTTTTATAGGTTTTAGATGTATTTTCCTACAACACATTGAAATACCATCCACATTGAATAATTAATTCAACCTCTATTTCTATTCATCCAAAAGTTAAAAGCTATTATAGTAGATGAAACATATGGCACTCTGTACAGCTTAACCCAAAGGCTATGCAAAGAGCTGTCATGTAACAGGTCATATCCTGTTTGTCCAGGTGCCGAAATAAGATCTGTATAAGACAAAGATCTGTGCAAGTCATGTGAAAATCTAAGAGTAATAAGAAACGAGAAAGTCTCCTGGCTTATGGGGCCCCACATTATTGAGACTTGTATAACCAACTACTTCATCTCGAGGTTGGTAGCTGAGGAGCAACTTGCTCTGCGCCATCACACCTGCACAGTGACTTCCACACGATACCGCCTCGTACCAGCCAAGTGTGCTGTACCTTTCATGATGCACCCGTTGACTCCAATGAGCAGGGCAGAGCTGTGATAGAGTGGCAGCGCAGTGTACACGATGTCTTCCGAGGTGACCTTGCCAGCGTCGAACAAGCCACAAGCCAGCAGGATGCGTTCATGGTTTATCACCGCAGCCTTGGGAAGACCTACTTAAAGCCAACCAAAAAGATGAGCAATAAACCTAATAAGACCAACAGTTTCACAGGATCTTAAGAAAGAGTTTGCTCTCTTATTCTCTCACTAAGCAAATAATAGTTCAAGAGTCCAGAGAAGTATGCATTTAGTGTAGCTAAATTTTGTAAGCTATTTTTTTTTCTTTTTTTGGAGGGTGGGGTTAGACATCAGTATCAAATTTGCAGTCACCTCAGAGGGAATTACATGAAATAACAGATTCTATCCTTACATGAAACCACCATGTCAGAAAGCATTTGTGGCCTTACATGCGTGTTTTATTTAATATATAAATATATTACCTGTAGTACCAGAGGTATAAATGTACATGGCAGGAGTTTTAGAGGTTATATCTGTTCTCCAAGACAGCGGAGTAGGCTCATCTGAGGCAGCATCTACTTTATCCAGAAAGCTTTCAACTCCTTCTGTAACAGTTGTCCTGCTTAGGTAATAAACTTTGACATTTTGTTCCTTCAAGGATGGCAATATTCCTTCAACAGATTCTTTCAACTCTTAAAGGGAGGAAGAAAAGGGAGGTATTATTAAAAAGAAAAAAAAAACGGCAAAGAAAAAAAAACCCCAAACATACTACTCAGTGAATTGTACTATCACTGCATCAACTTTTGCCTCAGGAGCTTTCATGCTTAACTGCAGTTAGGGAAACTCATGCCTTTCACTTCTTGGAGCTCTGCAACGCCAGTCTCCCTTCTCTCCCTGCAGGCAATTTCTGCCAAGTCCGAAGGTACATAATCATCCTTGACACTTTTATTCCCTTAACAAATTGAACTGGGTAACAAATTCAAGTGTTTTTAGCAAAGATGAGCAGATGCTTGATGTATTTGTATATACTTGGTTTCCTAAGAAATCCACATTAAATGACTTCCAGATCACAGGCAATTTCCTTGTGAATTATCAGTTTAAACAATTTGCAATGAATCTTCAATGCAAGTTTTATTAAAACATCGTAACATAAAAGTTTTTCATAATGTTATCTATTATTTAACAACCATTTTACTTCAAGTAAACTTTAATGATCAAAGCTCATTTTAGCAAGCTATTCATTTTAAAAATCCCTTCCCAGAGCTCAAGGCTTTACTACAAAATGTAAGGACAATACTCGATTACTCGATTGTTGAGAAGGAGAAAAATCAATTTTCTTATGCACGGTAGTTTTTCCCCATACGTATTGATAAATACCGATTAGTTTGGAAAGTCTGATTCCACAGAGCTTATTTTCAGTGAGGTAAAAACTGACCAAGAAGGGAGAAAAATCATACAGTAGAAGAATGATTTCAACTACCCAGCTGAGAAGATATATATATATATATATATTCATGTAAATGTATGTATTTGATTCTGAGCAGACAAACAGAGCCTTTGACTTCCCATCCAGTCAGACGTTCATATAGATACAAATATATATACAGACATCTGAAAGACTAGACACAAAATGAGGTCTCTATTCAGTATGGAACAGAATGCCGTTTTACACTTAAAACATAGCAGCACATCTATTTTATGAAAGGTTCACCTCGGTGTGTTCACTTTTTGTCTCTGAACTGAAATTTGCCACAAGCTTTATACAGACTGCAGCCACCCTGAGGAGTGTAAGTCGCTGTCAAGTTGCACCAAGAGGATTCTTCTGCCTGACTTTGTTTCCGATCTGAACACCACTGGGGAACAACGCTGCGTACGACTGTTATTTTAGTACTATGGCTTCATCAGCCTTACCAAATAACTAAGCACCTGGGCTCAACTCTCATGTCTTGCACTCGACCAGAAAATGCAAACATGGTGCAAACTCTCCGGAAAGCTGGGGTTTGCCGCAACCTCCCCGCTCCCCAGGGCCAGCTCTTGGATGGGCTGAACACCACTGGGGAACAACGCTGCGTACGACTGTTATTTTAGTACTATGGCTTCATCAGCCTTACCAAATAACTAAGCACCTGGGCTCAACTCTCATGTCTTGCACTCGACCAGAAAATGCAAACATGGTGCAAACTCTCCGGAAAGCTGGGGTTTGCCGCAACCTCCCCGCTCCCCAGGGCCAGCTCTTGGATGGGGACAGAGGGCAGGAGGACGCGGGCGC